TTGGTCATGTAGTAAGAAAGGATGCGGTTCATAGGAAATAGGGGAAATGGATAAATCATCACATACCCGATAAACAAAATCCAAAAAGACCATATTAAGCCCAACTGACTCCTCAGGCGGGGCCTGGAAAAATCAGGAGGTGGAAATAGGCAATCCAAGTCCCTGTTCACATGAACAGGCTTAGCTTATTTGGGAGAAAGTGTGGTGAGGTCCAGAAACAGAGGTAGACCCATGTAAAGTTCAATCTCTTGACGAATAAATGCTGATCAATCCTCTGCGGGGTCACCCGCATCTGAGGCCTGAGACATGGAGTAAGTTGCAGGTGTGATGCCCAAAGTGGTAACATGAACTTTGGAATTCATAATGAAGAAAAGTCAACCAATAATCGAAAGTATAAATAACAATGAGACTATAATAAACTGGGATTAAAGTGATGTTAAGAAACAGACTTACTAGAAACTAGAAGTGAAAATAAATAAAGACCACTTCATAAGTATAATAAAGACGAATGTGCAACTTTAAACAAACAAAAAAGGAACACGCCTGAGCACAAGCACTGCCAAACAAGAAGTGATAGTTTGGTAGAGGTGTATAGAAGGTGTCACATGCATCACATATGTCACACTTCTACTGGTGGTGGTGTGATGCATGATAATTTACATGAAAGACATGTTGGAATCGATTGATTCCAACATGGGCGAGCAGAAGACTTGTGGCATGTATAAAGCAAAAATTTGAACATAGAGGGCAGTACTAGACGAAAATAGCTAATCTTGTGAGAAGGGGGAAGTACTGTATTGGAAAGGAAGATTTAAAGGAGATCTAATTGAGGTATTTAAGATTGTTGAGGGAATTGATATTGTTGATACATCATGTTTTTTCATACTTAAATGTGAGAATGGTAAGACTAGGGAACACAAATATGAATAAATTTTGGCAGGGTGATAGTCATCTTCAGTTAAGATAATTTTATTTTTCTGACAGGGTAGTTGGCCTATGATGTGTTGAATTCAGTTAAATTAAGGGAAGGCTTGACAAACATTTGAATGATAAGGGCTGGCTTTGGGTTTTAATTTATTTATTTTTGATAAGTTAGAGGTTGGGACAGCCTAGATGGACCAACAGATTTCTCTGTATGCTAGAACCAGGCTCCATGAGTAATGTCTCCAAAGAAGTTATAGAATTTGCATCAGAGTTAACTTCAGAATTCATAGTAAGCAAAGTTAATAGAATGACTTTGAACAAGAAAATCTGATTAATGACAGGAAAGCAAAGCTTATGTGTATTTTCCTGACACAGGCACATGGAAGAATGGAGATCTAAGTACATTGTTGCATGCTTTGCATTTTATTGAGGACATTCATACCTAAAATCATGCGACTGTTGACAGCACAAGGGCAACTTAAGAAGAAGAGGCTTTCAGTATTTCACAAGTAATTTTAATTGAATTCCAATTACAGTTTACAGGTTTACAATAGTGCAAATTTTAGAAGAAAAAAAAAAGAGATAGTGGATTTACTTTATATAAGTGATGAGCTAGCAGCCTGTTAAGACTGAAAACATAAATGGATAGTAAAGAGCTTGGATGTATATTGGCTACAATTCTTAAAAACACCTTACAAGATAATCTAAACACATTAATAAGGATTATACAGAGCCTAGAAGAGAGGGAGAAAGGTTGCCTAAAGTGAATCAAGATAGTTCTCTATATTAAATAATCAAGTAGCCAACCAGAAACGATTCCACTAATGAGGATATGGCTATGAAAGTTCAAATGTGTGAGAGGAGAGAAGTGCATTTGAAAAAAGGTCACAGAGGTTGAGTACATTATATTAAAATGATTTTATAGTTATAGTCCATACTCCCAAATCCAGTCATGCTCCATCTGATGATTGTGCATCTTGAAAATAGCCTTGCACCATAGTTTCCATTGAAAAAAGCTCTGTCATAAGGATGGTATGTCAAAAGCTAAGGGACTGTAACATTGATCCTATTATCTGGGAAACTCTTGCCTAAAACTGGCCACCCTGGAGAAGTGCCGTCACAAAGGGAGTAACCACATATGAACAACATTGCATCCTGACAGCCCAGAACAAGTGTGCAGCACTTAAAGCATTAGGAAGTAACCATCAGAACCCACCAGCCCCCCTATTGTCTTACCCTCATTACACCAGACATTTTCACGCCAAGATCGGACTAATCTGTCACCTCCAAACACACAAAAATCAATGGATGATGATAAAGATGGTCCTCTTTAGTCATCAAGGATGAACAGCATGTCAAAAGCATATCACTCCTTCCCACATGCTTCACTTGAAATAACATGAATGTCCCTTTCATACTCCAGCTGGCTTGAGATATATGACACCTGAATTGAAGGTATGAAAGGAAGCCTTATCTTGGCGAACCAATACAATGATGATCTCATTACCTGACAAAGATCCTTCTTGATTATGTTGCATACTAATTCCTGAGCCACATGGACAGCTTTTGTCACAGGCCTATGTGTTTGTGGATTCTCATCTGTTACAAGATACCACATTTTGCCCACCACAGCTGGATACGACTTGTTACAGGTTTTTTCTGAACGGTCCTGGTGCCCTATGTCAATCCATATTTCTTGTTTTTCAATGTATAATTATTAAGTAAAAGGTATATCCCCATCTTGGAAATTCTAAATCCACAATTGGAATACATCTTGATGAACTGAATATAAGAATATTTTGCATCAGAAATGGCTGTCACATATAATTCCCAAAAGCAATCAATTTTTGGTGGCATCACATTACATAAAATGCCAAACACTATCAAAGTGTACTTCTGATACATTCCGTTTTACTGTGACTTTCCATTGGCTGAGGTTGTCGCGTGACTTCCTGATTTTGAAATTTAATTATTTTAATATGACATACTCAGCTCTACATAATCATTCACGGTTAAGTTTTAAATTTTGCTTCATGTTGAGATGAAAAGAAACTAAATCAAAGTTCCTATTTTCAGAAAGCCTATTTTAAGGCCAAGACAAGATTTATGGCTGAAGAAATTAATTTGGCTAAGAGCATTTTAGGGTGCATTTGTAAACACACTGATTCCAAGTAAACAGAGGTAATTATCTATCTATACAAAGTAACTAAACACTAGTTACACCTAACTTAGAAAATTTTATACACTTTTGGTCTCTTTATCTAAAAAAATATGTTGATTTAGTGGCACCAGTTCAGAGTAGGGCTACTAGGATGACTATGGGGATGGAAGGGTTGTCTTATCTGGATAAGTTAAATTATCTTATTTTATCTGAAGAAAAACAAGGGTAAAAGGTGAATTTATGCAATTTTACAAAATTATCTGAGATGTCAATACAACAAAAGCTTCTGATTTTTTGTGGCTGTAGTTTAATGGTAATAGGCAGAAAGGACACAAGACTATTATTTGGTAAAGTAATATAGACTAGTTAAGACAGTTTTAGTTGTCTTGCAGGATGACTGGCTTATGTAATTAGATGCCATTGGCAGAAGTGGAGGCCAGCACTTTAAACTTTATAAGTTCATTAGATTTGAAATAGGCCTAGTCCACAAACTAAAAAAAGTACAGTTAAGGCTATATTATAACACCTTTGCCAAATGTGGACAGTGCCAAATAGGCAAAAATTGTAGTTACAAAAGCATTTCCCTTACTATATTTTAAAGGAAAAATCTTGACACCTTGTTAAAGTTCTAAAGTACAATATTTCTACATCATCTATAACAGTGTTTCTCAAATGGTGTGTTGCGACCCCGGGGTGGTCACAATCTGCCTGTACTGAGTCCATCTTTTTTTTGTTTGTTTGAGTCCCTCTAGGTATCTGAGAGGTGCACATATCATCTTTGTTATGAACTATGATGAACTGCAACAAGAAACATCAAGAATTATTTCATCCTTGTAGAGATGATAGGAGGGTCCCAATGCCCAAGCTCAGATGCAGGGATTGTCTGGCAAATACAGCTGAGAAACACTGATCTATGACAACAGTTTTAAACAACAAATGTTGTACAATATCTTGAACTGTATAAAATCATTTATAAGTACAGTACTCTAAATATGAATCACAGTATAGGTGGCTAACAATTGAAACCAGCCATTGGGAAAAGAACATAAAGCCATAGCAGCACCACTAAACTACAAGTACAAGGAGCATTTGTATTTGGAGATATTGATATTGCTGGTTACAAGAGCTTTGCAGATATGAATATGCTGGGTAACAAAGCTTTTACTGTAATTGTTATTAGGTCTGACTACTAACATAGTGACAGTGGCATTATTGTCTGACGGCAGTCTCCTTATCACTAAAAGGCAAGTACAGAAATACTAAACACTAAAATGTTACGAAATGAAAACTAAAAGTGCTTTGTAAATACAATGGAATGAAGTTATTTTTTATAAATATGGATGTTAACTTTGAGGAAAAAATTATTTATCTATGTGAACTCATGTTATTATATTTATATTAAACCTACATACTCAGCATGAAGTATATGAAATTGGACTAAATATATGACATTCTATTTGGTTTGATATTCGTCATCATTAGTGGTATTGGTATAAATTATATCTATAGTCACTATAATATAATGGACTTTGGAAAGTTTTCAAATTTTCAATTGTTTTATTCGAAAACCAATATTATTACAGTTACCTTTATATGATCAATAGTTTCACTTCCAAGTTCCATACATTTCATATTACTATTAGTATTACTTTGTCACATTTTAGTATTTAGTAACAACTCAAAACAATTATTACTATTAGTAATACTAATAGTACAAATACTACTACTAGTAGTACCAGTATCACAAGACCAGTGCTACTACAAGCCGAGTATAACTTGAATCATTATATTTATAATTATAGCCTAGGTATACGTGATTTTTACACTAATTCATTTCCATATCTGAAATTAATCACTGTTGTTAACAAGTAACAAACAATTTACAATAATTAAAAAAAACACTCCAATATCCTACCAAAGTTTGCATGACAAACTTTTCTCTAATAATACCAAACAATTTCTCGTTCGTTCCCAGGTTGCCATTTTATTTTTAATAAATCCGCCAATTTTCTCTCTGCCATCTAGTGTTCGAGTTAGTAAAACAAAAAACAGTTGTCTAATCATCAGCACAAAACAATTCCCGAAATGAATATATAAAGCGAATGTTCCGATCTAGTTGTTTCAAAACCGGAGTTACTCTTCTTCTTATTTCCAAAAATATATGTTATAATATCGAAATATATATTGTAATATCTGTTTCATAACTCACTATATATTCTGAAATTTTATATTTGAAGTAACACATACGTAATATGATATATTATCGCAACAAGTTTTTTCAGTTTTAGATTGTTTCTCTTTAAACATGATAATGTTTTTAGCGTGAATGATTTGTAAATGTTGTATTTTACAACTAGCACGTGTGTATGTGAATGCGCATTGTAATATCATGATGTTCAGTGGGAATAATTTATTGAGTTGTGATTTTATTGTCTTTTTTTTTTTTTAGAAATTAAAAGAAAAATTCCATTTTCTATCAGTTTAGTTGTAGTAAATTTTAGACAATACATCTTAGGTTTTATTACACTGTTCACGTAGATAGGTGATAATTATATGGGGCTGGAATAACAAATTTAGGAGATAATTTTCACTTAAATTCCCCCCCCCCCTCACCTCAGTGGTCTGGTTTTACTAATAAATTTTTTCTATTTCTGTTTCAAAAGAACTAACCACCTTCCAACACTTAATTAATTAACTGGCTGTAGACGGTGAATTATACATTTAGATTTATTCTTATATTTTAACACGCACATACACATATACTTACAGATTAGAAGTATTTTATTTACCGCATTTGATTTTGTGAAGCACTTTGATATTAAATACTTGATTAATAATAATAATTTGATCTACTCACCAACTTAAATTTTATTTGATAGGACTTATATTTACCATATACCATATCTCAAACGATTTGACGTCTCCGAATCCACTAAAATGTTTAGTTTAGTCTCTTCACAGTCCACACCATAGCGATCCATGGAAGGGGGGGGGGGCGTCCATATTGTCCACATTGTTTAAAGTGAATCTCACAAGGTTTGTTTTTCGGTGAGCTGATGACTCATCGATGACTTTAACATCAGTTCATTAAGCGCAACTCGTTGAATTTAACATTAGTTCGGTGATCATAGTAGCTCGCAGGTGGAGCAAATTGTAAATAAAACATTAGCTTCATTTGGTGAAATATTATGTAACGTGTTTGTTTTGTTTTTTGTTTATTTTTAGTTTTCGCCTTTGAAATCGGCTTTGATTAGATATTAGATATATAATTCAGTAAGTTATATTTTGGGAGTCTGATAGCCTCTTCAGTGAGTCAATCAAGAGTCCGATATCAGAGAAAACACTTAATTGTGTATATTATTAAGAACTGAGCGGTTAAGCCTGAGTTCGGTATCAAAGAAACAACTCGTGCAGACTAAAAACTGCATAGTTTTGCCTTAGTCCAGTATTATTTGGAAAAGTGAAATATTTTGAACAAATTATTTTATTAATTACAGCTTTTACAGTAATGAATGCTTTACCCTTAAAACTTGTGTGCTTGAGAATGATTGCACCAGTGATCAAAACATCGTACCTGTTATAGAAAATAATCTTCCTTGCTGTAAAAGCTGTAACTTTTAATAAAATAATACTTAACCAGTAAGTAAACTGAAAACGAAAGTATTAATTTTGTACAAATTTGTGCCTGTTTGTTTGTTGTAAAGCACAGAGCTATAGAATGAGCTATTTGTGCTCTGCCCACTGCGGATATAGAAACCCTATTTCTAGCGTTATAAGTCCATTAACTTAACCGCTGAGTCATCGGGGGGAGTGCAAGTGTCTAATATAAATCAGCTATTCAAATAAATACGCAGGCTATTCGTTGTTGTTTTAATTCAAACAAAGGTAACATCATTTACAACTTAAAGAGAGCTGAAATAAAAAGAAGCCTTGCTTACCTCACAGTAATAATCTGCTGATTTATGAAAGGCTTTTTAGATTACAACTATTAGGGTGGTCAAACCTGGCCACCCTCCCCTTTTCCCCGCCGGCTACACCCCTGTCTTTTATGATTTCCTAACAAATGGTGTAATTTTTAATGTTCCCTTTTGTGTATATGTTACTGGAGCGTTAGTGGAATTGTTTAATTTGGACTTGGGTTTGTTTTTGTTAATTATAATTTTTTCGAAACTTGGTGTGAGAGACAGTTTTAAATTTTTGTTTGTTGTTAAGCACAAAGCTACACAATGGGCTACTTGTACTGTGCCCACCATGAATATGTTTTAGTTTTTCAATTTCAGTTTTGCTTTTTATATTTTTTCATCTTTGTTATATAGTGCTGAATCTTCGTCTACATATTATTGATGCAATTTACATAATTTGACTATTATTTCCCCGAAAGGGGGCTGAAGGCCTGTTTTAACCACTCACACATGTATACAGTAGTGTATTGTCAGTCAGTCAGTCAGTAGACACTGAAATGAACTCACATAAGGGACGCTTAACGTTCCAATTTATACTGTCATGATGTCAGTAAAACGTGCACATATCACGAATCACTAGAAAAATTATGCATTCTGTAGGCTACAACACAGCATGACACGGAACTTGAAAAGTAAGAAATAAAAATATTTGTTACTCATAATTTTGGTTTCATCATAAGTACGGTAGTACTTGTAGTAGGAATGGGACGGATACACAATACATGCATTACAAACTATTTGCTCATATACACCTTTAACAATCAAATAATAAATTTCCAAAAGTATTTTAGAGATACCCTAAGGTGATAAAAAAAACCGCATACAAAATTACAAGTTATAGTTTGTTTGTTTGTAATTAAGCACAAAGCTACACAATGGGCTATCTGTGCTCTGCCCACCACGAGTATCGAAACCCGGATTCTAGCGTTGTAAGTCCGCAGGCATACCGCTGTGCCACTGGGGGGCACAAGTTATAGAACCACTTGAGAAAGAGTAGATACAAAAATGTCACAAAACCACAAATTTCTCAATCTTACTGATTGACTGACATTGATGAACACTTCTAGTTGCGTAACAAACACACTTACCATAGTTATATGTGTACCAAATAAAACAATAGCACAGGGCTCACATAACTAACTTTGATAAGTTTAGCCCACCTGGTTTATTGTATACAGGATAGGACAAATAAACGAAATAGGCATGGACCGGATGTTGGACACACCTCTTGTAAGATTGTACAGAGGAAGATTTAGTACATCATGCCCATTCCTACCTTATTTCCTCATTTTTGGTGCACCCATTCCTAAAATTTAAATTTTTTTAAAATATTTTTTCCACTTGTTTACTCTTGAAACAGAACACTTTCGGTGACCCTCCGGAAGTACATCCAGTATACATGTATATATACACATAGTATAAAGCACAAACAAGTTGAAATTTTATGTTGTCATATGTTTTTTGTTGTTGTTCTTAAGCACAAAGCTATACAATGTGCTATCTGTGATCTATTCACTGCAAGCATCAAACCTGACCTTTAGCATTATAAGTCCTCAGACTTGCTGCTGAGCAACTGGGGGGAGGGGGCGATGTTATATGTATTTTTAGTGTTGAATTTAAAGAAACTAAAATATTACATACAATTATTTCAGTGGCTCAGTTGTAAGTTTGAGAGCTTATAATACTAAAGATTGAAGTTTGATATCTGCGGTTGGCATACCACAGATAAATCATTATGTCACTTTAAGCTTAATAACAAATAAAATACATATAAGTGCTTCATTTCCAGATACATACAACAAAAACAAGCATCGTGATTTATGAATTTCTTTATCAACCCAAATGGCAGTTTACCTTTTTACTAAAATAAATAACTCTTAAGAAAATAAATCAATTCTAATGAAATTACAGGCCTATACATCATATAAGCAGTGCTCAAAGTGGAGAGTAATGCGTACCCTCACTTCTCAAATTTGGCATTTTGCGTACCCCATTTCTTGTGCATCTTGATTAATAATTCCTAGCAATAAAAACGCTATCACCATTTTATGCGCGAGCATACACTCACTTCTTAATTCCCACTTCGAACACTGCGTATAGGTAATTTTTAGTGCAACATGTGGATATGATAGTCTTGGGAATATATGGAGAAAAGGATTATACTATCCAGGAGCATGGATGGAGGATATAACTGACAGAGCAAGTGATATAGCAAAGGGTACTAGCAGTGATGCAGTCTTTTTAAGTGCACATTTGGGATAATGATGTAGGTAAAAGCAGGTCAGGGGAGCTAATTAATAAGTACAAGTAGAATTCATAAAGGTATTTAAAGAAAACGTTTTACTAACTTAATTCTGCCAAGACTTAATTGTAGGATGAAATTATAAGTAGGTCACTAGGGCTGAATACTAGTTTTAGGTTAATATGAAGGTTGGCTGGATGGATTTGTGGGATTGGTTCTATGGGGAAAAGGAGCTTTTTTGAATGTGTGGTATACATTTAAATAGGGTAAGGACTGGCTTGTTTGCGAGGGCTATTGATTCAACTGTAAAAGTAGCTTGAAATATTCAACTAGGACTAGACAGTTGTGAAGGCCAGAATAATGAAGAAAAAAATAAGATGTAGAGAAAAGCATAATGTAGGAACTACCAATAGAAGTATTTTTTTAACTTAGCTGAACTGTTACTATTGTAATGATAGAAGTATAAGAAATAAAATAAATTACTTTAGAGCCCTAGTGGGAATGGAGGATTTTGATATAATGGGAATAGCTGAAATCTGGTTAAATGTAAACAATTTTCATTACAATAATTTCTTTGAAATACAGGATTGTGGGTTATTTAATAATAATAGAGTACTAAAAAGAGGGTGAGAAGTGGCTTTATAATAGGGGGGTTACATTCTGTTCAAGTTCAGGATATCAAAGTAATAGACATGAGGTTGAATCTATTTGCATATTTGTTGGCAGTTATAGGGGAAATGGATTAGTTGGAATTTGTTACAGACCACTAGATGAAGTTAAT